ACCTAATGTATGACACAAAAGAGCTTTGAGAGGTGTGTGAATAAGTGATGGACCAAAATTTTAAGTTTGGGGGTTGCAAAAAAGGCAGGAAGAATGGGCAATAGACCTCAATGGTGTTGTAAATATTTGTTACTGCAAACAAAAAAAAAGAAAAAAGAAAAAAAAAAAAAAAAGGAAGAAGAAGAAGAAAAAAAATTTCTTTAGTTCAATTCAAAATCAAAAATAAGAAATGCATAAGTGTGAGGGTTGTAAAATGGTTGACACTTTGATTGGTGGTTGAGAAAGAAAGCGGAGGTTGATATAGCTCTTAGTGTTTGTATGAGGAAAACCAAGTTCTCTTACTTTGTTTATCCTATCCTTTTTCCTTGGAGCCCACTACCCGAGCCTAACGTTACAAGCTTACAAAGACCTTTTGATCCTTACCAATGTCTAGCCTACATTAGTGGAGAGCAGTTTCATACTTAGCCTTATGGAGTCTGCCACCATTTGAAAAACTTTACATTTCTGCATAAAATATTCCGGGAAGTCGGAAGGTGGACTGAAGTGGGGATTTCCTACTCAGGGGATTGATAAAGAAAGATGGTCAATTCAATTTATGACTTCTTGGAGTGTTGAGCATTTTTTAAGTAATAATGTACCAATAATTTTTTAGACTTGCATTGTGATTCAATCTAGGTATTTATCTTTCTTTTTGTTTTGATTTTTATTCCTATCTGCTCGAGGACGAGCAAATCTTAAGTTTGGGGGTATTTGATAATCCTATTTTTCCCTATGATTTTGTATTGAATTTTTATAGGATTTATGATACTTCTCATACAATTTGGACCATAATTGGTACCTAATTCTATTAATTTTTCTTTACAGGCCTAAATGACAGTTTTGAGCATAAATTACATAACTTGAGCTTGGAAACTCGAAAGGATCTGAATTTAGAAGCTTTGGAAAGCTAAGAAGCAGAGATACAACTTTCATCTTTTGGGTTTTTCCTAATTCTGACTAGAAGAGGGTGAAAACTTGGCTTGAAGTCGTGAACAGTATGTTGGGAACTGAAGAAAAAGGTCTTTGAACGTGCTTCAATATTTTGGCCATAACTTGAGCTGTAGACCTTGGATTGGGATGATTCTTGAACTATTAGAAACATAAGTGAAATTTATATAATTCATATGTTTACCACTCTTCCAGATTTAGACTCTATCATGTTCAAATTTGTCCTGAAAGATTCTAGATGCGGCAAAAATGGAATTCGCCGTGGCGAAACCTGCATCAGATGTGAAAAACAAAACGACACGTTTTGGTTTGCGAAGGCTTTATCCTTAAGTAATATAAGTATAAATTGGCACGAAAAGGAAGGGAAAACGGTCTTGGTTCGTCATTTGGGAGGCAGCTCATGTAAGGAGAAGATTATTGAAGATTTGGGCTTCAAATTAGAGAAGATTTCTCCATCTTTTGCTTGTTTTTCAATGATGAACCTTGATTTAGTTTGTTTTTTGTTATTTTATTTTATTTTTGAGTATAAACTGAGTTTCTTTATCTAGGGTTTGATGTAACCTTGATACAATGATTCAAATTTATATGAATTGATTTACTTTGAGTTTTAATTTCATGATTGAGTGTTTATCTCTTTGTTTAATGACTTTTGGATGCTTGATCACCATTCAAATGTATGTTGTTCACAATGAGACTGAGAAGTGATTTGTGATTGTGCCTCTTGGGATAAATACCATAGATTGAGCGAAAGCTAAAGATAGATAAACATGATCTATGATATCTAGATAGAATTCCATAAAGTTTAAAAGACTTTGAACTATTAATCTTTATTTTGTTGGGTGCGGAAGCTTAATAGGGATAAGTAGGAAAATATAGCCAGAGAATGTATGTTTTACAACTTAGGGAATTCGATTTTCAATCAAGGAATTAGAACGTGGGTAATAGATTCTATGATTTGGGTTAGCATATCTAGGTGAAATCAACACCCTAGCATTTTTTAGCATTGTTTAATTAGTTAAGCTGCTGGGTTTTACTTTAATTTCATTATCATTCATTTATATTATGTGTTTTTAATTGAAGTGTGACTTGTTACCATAATACCCTCACAACCTTACTACTATAAATAATGAACCTTAGCAATATTTTAGGGGAGCTAGGGTTTCATCTTCCCTTCTTATGTGTTTTTCAAGATTTTGAGGTTTAATTCCCTTATGTCTATGTGTAACTAATTCTTTTCTAGGGATCCACTATAGCCTAATATGAAGGTTTTATGTCATTATTAATTCTATTTGTTTTATCAATCCATTGCAATTCTAGTTTCATTCATTGTGCTTAATTCAGTCTTTAATTGATATTATTGCTTGATCACCTTTAATGTTAATTAATTGATTACATGAGACAAGGTTAGACCATACGCCCTAGCTAATCTTAAATAGCTCATGTGAATGAATAATTTGTATTTGTCCATACACCCAAACAAATTCGAATTGGTTCATGATTTTTAGTGCTCTTGATCTTAATGGGTTTTTAATTATAACACTATACTATACACCCTAGCTAGTTTAGTGTTAAAGATACTAGGTTAATCTAGAACATCCCACAGTAATACCTTAATTATGTGAGTACAAACCCTAGAAATTGGATTGAGATAACAATAGATTGATCATTGACATAAAACTGGATTATTACAGTGAAATTGGATACCTAGGTTTTAGTTCATTGGTTCTTAAATTAGTTTTTATTGGTATTATTTAGCTTCAGTCAGTAGTTAATTTCTATTTTCTTTTTACATTTAGTTTTAATCACTAGTTCTTTAATTTGCTTGATTTTATTTGTTTAATTAAGGCATATTATATTAGGATTAATTGAGTGCTTAAAATCTCTATGGGATCAACCCTTACATTTGCATCTATACTATGATAGCGATTCGTGCACTTGCGAGGAATTAAAATTGTTCATTGATAATTCTAGGATTATATTGTTTTATTTAGGCTTTTTGGCCTGATTTTGGATACTTCTTCTTTCGTTTGTGCCTGAATTGCAACTTAATTTCATATATTTTATGTTTCAGGCCAAAACGTGCAGTTAGAGCAAAGATTGAGTGGAATTGAGTTTCTAGACCCAAAAGCAAGCAAATCTCAAGATCCGAGGAAGTTCTAAAGCGGATTTGAAGCACTATGAAACTTGTTCCTATTGGAGATCACAAAAGATTGAAGATTCAAGCAAGGAAGCAACTGGAGGGTAGTTTCGTAATTTCAGAATAGTTCAGAAAAGTTTGCCGCAGCGAAGTTCTTTCTTTGCCGCGGTGATAAATTCTCAGGTCAGATAGTAAATTAGAAGCCAACTCGTCTTCGCCGCGGCGAAGTTTGTAATTTTCAGTTTTTAAAACTGTACGTTTTAATTTTTATGGGAGAGTCTTAGGGTTTTGGGACCGACTATATAAGTGGGACTTAGTTATTTTGTAAGGGGTTTGACTTTGTTTGGAGAAAGAAGAGAGAAATTGAAGATTGGACGTTTTGGGTTCATCAAATAGGGAAGATTAACTCTCTTTTCATTATTCCATCATGTTGAATTCTTTGCTTACAGCTTTTATTTTGATTTGCTTTAATTTTAGTATGAACTAACTCACTCTTGGGTTAGGGTTTTGATGTAATTGGGATTTTAATGTCTAATCAATAAATTGATATTGCTTTTACATTCTATTGCATGGATTGTGTAATTACTCGTGTTTTTATTGAATTTACTTGTTGAGCATGATGAGACTGAGAAGTGAATCATGCATTAGCTTCTTAGGGTAATTGCCATTGTTGTATTGAACGCTAGAGATAGGTTTGAGAATCAATGAAATCAATTTAGGATTCCATTTAGCTTAATGGACTTGGAACTATTAACCTTCAATTTGTTGGGTGCGGAAGCTTAATAGGGATAAGTAGGAAAACATAGCCTGAGAAGGTATGTTTTACATGTTAGGGTGTCCGATTTATAATCTGCGCATGTTGAATGTAGAAGTAACAGATTTCGTAGATTAATTCATAAAATCCTAGTGACGTCAAAACCCTAACCGCTTTGTCTTAATTGATATTTTTCTTGAATTAATATTGTTTGCATTATTTAGATTTTAAATTACGTAGTGAGTTTTGTTTTAATCTTAGCTTAATTGCCTCCCGCAAATCCAAACATATTTCGGTTTCTCCAACTTAATAAACAACTAGGAAAATCAGTGCTTAATAAGCAATCGTCGTGGGAACGATCTCTACTTATCACTTTATTACTCTTTAAAACTAGTACACTTGCTACACATTGCATGTTGTAATTTCAACGCATCATTCATCAAGTTTTTGGTGCCATTGCCAGGGATTTGATTTAAGTTACTCAGTTTTCTCTAATAACGTGTGCTTTATTTTATTTTTTAAACTTTGTTATGCTTTTTATTGTCTTTTATTTTTATTTTATTTTCTTTTTTTTTTTTTTTTTTTTTTTTTTTTTTTTTTTTTTTTTTTTTTTAGTTAGTGAATGCAAGTTCGTCAGTCTTCAAAGAATATTTATTTCCAGACATCGATAGAGTGGACTTAATTGGTAGGAAGAGGAAGGAACCAGAAATTTTTGAAGAGTCGACAAAATCATGTTTTGAAGTTGAAGATAAAATGGATGACTTACCTAGACCTATGAAGGATTATTCACGTCCTACTATTGGGACATTATAATCATGCATAGTGTTAAACGAGGCATCAAGGAACTATGAGCTAAAGAACATACATTTTCAAATGCTTCCGTCTTTTCATGGAGTTGCTTCAAAGGATCCACTCATCTTTATTCGTGATTTTTATGTTACAATTCAAACTTTTCCTTTACAGGGATTAACTGAAGATCAGTTACGAATAAGGTTTTTTCCATATACTCTGAAGGATGCAACGAAGACATGGTTTATGTCCTTGACTCCAGTTTCACTCGCCACCTGGGATGTGGTCTACAATAAGTTCATAGGTAAATTTTATTCCCAAGGTAAGACTGCCGAATTGAGTAGTAAGATGGCTACATTCACACAAATAGAAGGTGAGGTCTATGAAGCTTGGGAATGATTTAAATTGCTTTTGGTTCATTGTCCACATCATAGGTTTTCTTTAGAATTATTGAATCAATTTTTTCTATGATGGACTAACTCAGACTTGTCAAGCCATGGTTGATAATTCTACGAGTGGTGTCATGGGAGAGAAAACGGCACAAGAGACGTACGAGCTTTATGAGATGCTTGGAGCTAATTCACAACATAGTAGTGTTAGAGGAAAATCAAGAGGAATTTATGAAATTAATTCTAACACTGATTTGGCTATGCAGGTTTCAGAGTTGAGCAAACAAATGAAAACCATGTGCACAATGAGTATGAGACATAGATCGTCCAATGCTAATGAAGTATGTGTTATGTGTGGAATCAATGGTCATTTGGCTAACTCTTGTCTTTCTAATGGGAATTGTTTAGGGTATTCAGAGCAAGCAAATATGATGAACTCTTACAACATGAGGCTTAAATACGATCCATTTTCAAATATGTACAACCTGAGTTGGAGGATTCATCCTAATTTTTCATGAAATAACAATTAGCAATAGTCTAGCTCAAATGATCAGTCAAGGATATCTTCACTAGAAGAGACATTGAATAACTTCACCCAAGTTTCTTAGCAGAACCAATAGAGTAATGAAAAAAAATTCAACTACAAGAAGCATAGTTATTAGTATCTTATGATACCCGATACGTATCATACGAGGTCGCTAACGATATGTATCAGAGAGTGTATCATAAACCTTTCGATACGTTGATATGTATCCTACAATATGATACGTATCTGTTCATATCCTTAAAAATATCGATACGACTTTATTAATTTAGACCAAAGGCCCCAAAAAAAATTCGGGTCGAAACCAAGTCACCCAACCCGGTTCAATAAAACTTGCCCAAATTTACCTATTTTGCATGGAGAAAGTGAAGAGGAACATGTGTTGCTCATTTTACATGATAATAATAATACAAGTGGAGATATAGATATTGACATTGATCTTGGAAATGATATGAAAAGTTGAGAGGAAATGATATGAAAAGTTGAGAGGAAATGATATAGATTCTTAATTTTGTGATTAATTTTGATTATGTAATACCATAATTTAAAGCCAATAATACCACAAAAATCTTTAATTAATCTTGGGGATGATATTAATTTTTAGAAAATTTTGATTATGTTATTTATTAATTTATTAATTTTTTTGAAAAATGCACATCCTACAATACGATACGATTCGCGATACACGATTCGAAAAATTAGATTTTTGATACATGATATGATACGCGATTTGACAACCATGACAAGAAGCATCGCTGAGAAAGTTGGAAATTCAAGTTGGGTAGATTGTGGAGGCAATTCAAAGCCATGTTCCTGGGAAATTTCCAAGCCAACCTGAGCAAGCTAAAGCGGTCGTAGTGCTTCGAAGTGGTAAGGTTATTGATAAAACAATTAATTCTAATGAGAATTTAATTAATCATGTAGGGGAAGACAAGGAGAAGGAGAAGCAACCAAATGCATCTAGTTAGAATAAGGAATTCAGTCCTACCAATGTTGCACCAGAAGTCTACAAGGAGCCAAAGCCTTATTTTCCACCTATTCCTTTTCCAAGCCAATTGAAGAAAAGCAAATGGGATAAGTCATTCTCTTAAATTTATGATATTTTATCTAAATTTAATGTGAACTTACCTTTGCTTGATGTGATAAGAAATATGTCAGCTTACGTAAAGTTCTTGAAAGAATTGATTACTCGCAAGCATAAGTTTGAACCAAATGAAAAAGTAATGGTTCCTGAAAAGGTAAGTGTTATGCTAACTGCCACCCAAATTGAAAGATCTAGGTAGTTTCATCATCTATTTTACTGTGGGTGATAAAAAGGAAGATCGGGCAATGCTAGATTTGGGGGCAAGTATTAATCTCATGCCTTACTCCACTTATTTATGACTAGGATTGGGGGATCTAAAGTCAATAACAACGTCTCTACAACTTGCTAACATTTCAATTAAATATCCAAGAGATATTGTAGAGAACGTCTTGGTTAAAGCTGATAAACTAATAATTCCTATTGATTTTGTAGTCTTAGATATAAAGAAGTCGTCAACTCATGATAGAGATTTGCCTATTTTGGTCGGCCACCCATTTAAGGCTACAGCTAAGACAATGATTGATGTTCAGAATGACAAGCTCACTATGACGGTTTTGGATGAAATAGTGGAGTTTGTAGTTTTCAACTCCTTGGCATTTCCATTAGATTCCAATGACTGGGGCATAGACCGTGCACTCCGTCTAGCCTAAACGTTAAATAAAGTGCTTCTTGGGAGGCAACCCAAGTTTTTAATTTGAACTTTATGTTGATTTAATTTATGTTTTATTTTCTTTTGTTTTTCAAATGTCTTTAGTGTTTTCACTATAAAAATTTTAGATGTAGTTTAGCTTTTAAGTATTGTTGGATGAGTAGGGTAGTGTAGCTCTTTGTATTTTATGGTTATTCATTTTGTAGGAAAAGAGCTTCGCGCCACAACGCAACAATATTTATGCTGCAGCGTGGAAAGGAAGAGACATAATGCAATTTGGGCAGAAACTTGATGTCACAATAGGATGACAACTGTGCTATAGCGTAAATTGTGCACAATGTCTTCAGAAGGTGAATACTTTTCACGCCGTAGCACGATGAAAATGGCGTCGCGGCACCACACTGATTTTGATGATGTCTCTAAGAGGGGTAACTTTCTCTTTCCTTTTATGTTTTTCCTTTCTAATTATTACATTGGGGACTAGAGGTGTTCGGTTCCGGGTACCCTGCACTTTTTGAAGGAACCGGAACCGATGGTTCCTTAAAATTTGGAACCAGAACCGAAACCAACGGTTCCGGTTCCTAGATACCCAGAACCAGAACCTATAACAACGGTTCCGGTTCCGGTTCTGGGTACCCTGTAAAATTACATGACCCCCTAAAACTTTTTTAAATGGAAAAAATACCCTTAAAAACTTACAAATACACCCCCCCCCCCCCCCCCCCCCCCCAACCTGGCACTTATTAACAAAAATAAAATTACAAATTATAAATTCAAAATTAACAAACTCTATTACTTTACAAAGGTAGATTTTCTCAAAAGTCAAACCAACTTACTTTAAATGTTATGAAATATAAATATAAATGTATTCACATTACTTTTTCTACAAAAGTTTTTATTAACCCCCCTAATCTTTAATTTTATTTTATATTAGTCTCGGTTCCTGGTTCCGGTTCCGATTCCGATTCCTAACTATAGGATCCGGAACCGGAATCGCACAGTAACGGTTCCAAAAATTTGGAACCGAAACCTACCCATTGACGACTGGTTCTGGGTAGGAACCGGAACCAAACTCAGGGTACCCGCCGGTTCTGGTTCCAACCGGTTCTTTTGAACACCCCTACTGGGGACAAAGCAGGTTTTAGGTTCAGGGTGGGGAAGTTTCCTAGTCTAGTTTTGTAATGCCCCATATTTTTTATGGAATTTTATTTTGTTATTTTGGGGGCGTAAAGTTCAAGGATTCGAAAGTTTTAAGGGAGTAAAGTGTAATAGCTTAAACAAGAGAGGACCAAAGTGAAATTTGCTAGATATTTTGATGAACAGTGATCATTCAAAGAAAAGAAAAAGGGAGAACAGGAGAAAGATGAGAAGAAAGAGAAAGAAATGAGAGAAAGAAAAGAAGAAAGAAAAGAGAGAGAAGAGAGAAAAGGAATAAGAGAAAGAGAGAAAGAAGAAAAGGAAGAAAGAGAGAAGTAGAAAGCAATGGAGGCGACGGGAAAAGTGGTTGCCGACGAGCAAACTCTAGTGATCAGAAAGAGTAGGGGAAAATTAAGCGTATGGGAGGGGGACATTTGCATGGAGAGTTCATTGGATTTCAGACAAAGGAAGACAAGCAAGACACCATTGGAGGATTCCGATCTCTTCTTCGGATCATGGATTTAGCTTTAGAAAGGTGAGTGGACTAGTATTGCATCTCAAAAATTCATGTTTAATGGGTCGTCTTTCATGTTGGTTGTTTGATTGATTATGAATGGCGTATGTGTGAGTCGTATGGGTGTTGGTAAATTATATATATGTGTGCGGGTGTGGGTGTGGGTGTGTGTGCGTGTGCCTGTGCGTGTGCGTGTGCGTGTGCGTGTGTGTGTGTGGTAAAAATTTGGCTTGTTGGTTTGGCTGGTTCAAGGTAATCAAATGTTGAATTCTTGATAAATTTTGATAAATTTTATATTTCATCTTGCATGTATCAGTTGAATTAAAGGATCATTGATTGTTGGGAAGTGGTTTGGGGCATAATGCTTTGTTGAATGTCGACTATGTGAATGTTTCCTTTGGTTGGAACAAATTGAGGATGGTTGGTGGATATTTTGTGTGTTGGAAATGATATAAAGTGGAATGGGAAAAATGGTGTTGGGCTTGGAATTTTTATGAAATGGAATACTTTTGAGATATTGGTTGGGTTGGTACAAGTTTAAAGCCCATATGTTACTAGTGTTATTGGTATGGTAGAATTTGAACTATGGATGGCCCTATAAAAAGAGATGGGCCTGGCCCAAATTCAAGAAGCTGTGAGTGATGGGTATATTGGGTTGGCTTTCATTTTTAGAAAATATATAATTAAAATGGTGTTTAGATTTAGTTGAAGTAATTAGGCTTAATGGTGTTTGGGTTTAAGTAAATGGGCTTAATGGTGTTTGGTTAATTGAAATAGTTGGGCTATTAGGTTTTAATTATATTGATGGGCTAATTGAATTAAAGGGTTTAATTACTAAAGGGGTTAGACTATTAATAATGATGAGGCCCAATTACAGTAAAACATTTTTATAGTCATTGTTTTAGTAGCATATATTAGGATTTCAATTCACTATTTTATAATTTATGTTTTGGTAGTATTAGGATTTCAATTCATTGTTTTAGTTGTATTAGGATTTCTTATTTACTTTTCCTAGCAGAATTATGATTAGCCTACTATAAATAGGGTTGTTATGTTTCAACTTATTCAATCAAGTTTTCAATAAAACCTTCAACTAATTCAAGTTATACCTTCCCTTATT